CGATTTGTAAAAAAACCTCAACGTCTGTGAGGTGCAGTAAGGATATGCCTGTACCTGGTCAGTATTCCTCTTCCTCAGAACTGCCCAGGCCATCAAAACGAGGAAATTCTGGGAAAACAGCAATAGCCAGGAGGAGCCCGGAGACATGCCAACTAAATGAAGCCTGCTGTCCTGGATGGCATCTGGAACAGAAAGGGACATCAGGGAACAGCTACGGAAATCTGAATAAGGAACGGGCTTTCGTTAGTATTAAGTGTGCATGTCGGTTCATTAATTACGACCAACGTACCATAAGAAGGCCAGGCGTTAACTGGAGAAACTTATAAAGGGAATGGAGAACAGGGGAGTTCTAGTATCTTTGCAACTTTTCTATAAAATAAACCGTATTGAAATATAAAACTGAGTGGTAACATGTTTGTTTTTAAAACACCATTTCTGGACAATAGACACAACAGCATTACTTCTGCAGGTGAACGAACTAGGAGCCCAGAAACACCATCCTGCCAATGTCAGCAATTTAACAGGATCACAGAGAAAAATTCCCACATCAAAATGCAGTAAGAGTCTGGGAACTTCCCTGGACGAAGCCCACATCTCCATCCTTAGTAAGGAACGTTTATGGAGGAATGCTAAGGCACAGTATTATTGGGAGAGCTGCCGACTAGAGATTTCTGTGCTTTAAAGTCACCAGGTGAAACTTTTGCTTTCAAATTTTAAGTAAATGCCTGCTTCACATTTTACATTTAGCAAGTAGTTTAAATAACAGCATAGTATTGCATAGTTTATAAATGTTTATTAAATGTCAGTAATCTTTACAAAGCAAATATTAAAAGCAAGAGGCAAAAATTCTGCAAAATATGTACAAAAGTAAAAAGCCTTAATAACTAGTAACTCATTTTATAAAACCCAACTGTCCTTGCCACTTTCAGACCTCCTTTAGAAATAATTTATTGCCAACCCTGAACTAAAGCACTGACAGAAAATAATTTACAATATCAGATAATGCGCTTAGTTCCTGGAAAGTTATAAAAAGATATATGTATAAAAAATCCTAAGCCACAAATACTTTTATACAGAACTAATACAAAGGATGTTTGGTTGGGTACAGTATTATGAGGTTGTTACAAAATATACTTTTTTATAAGGCTCCTTGTGGTAAATGAATTCTCCCCACTGTATAGTAGTACTGTACAGAAAAGCCAGTGAAAACATTTTCTACTTCTGCTTTAAGAGGTAAAACAAAAAAGGGGGAATGTTAGTTTGTTGCATTTTTACATATACTTTCCAAGAATTAACCCCCACCCCATCAAATAGGCATGACTGAGGACAAATGTATCGCTTACTATGGTAAGAAATATATAAGCTTTTAAAATACAAAGGGAAGGAAAGTAGCCTACTTCTATCATGATATTCACTGATTGAAAATTTATGCATAGTGGGTCAGCATACGTTGATGCATCTGGAAATGATCATTATGAACAGATTCGAGTATGTCTCAAAACCTCTAATCAACCCAGAGAATACTGCCCTATCATTAATGCTTTTTTGGTCCATATAAGCTCTGGCATTTGCAATCAGATGGCTAGACCTGGATGAAATAAGAATGAACATATTTATTTCAATGCTAACTATACATTCAAGTACAGACATAAGCATGCTAGCGGTACAAACACTGTACTCCATATGATGGTAAGAATCACTTACCAGCCTAAGGCTAATATCAATGTGGTGGTACTTGAAAAAGCCATGAAAGCCAACTTGTTTAAAATGCTCAGGTTTAGTCTTATACTTCAATTTCTAGCATAAACTTATTAAGCCCTAGCTTCGTACCATAAAATAATGGGTATGTATTATTTGGGACATGGAGACACATACACACCCACTCCCATACCATCCCTCCCTTCCTCATGTTTACTGGACAGAAAGCCAATCTGTGTCCTATCATTTTTCTGTTAGTAAAGCAGCACATGACCAGACTGTCGGTGACTAATGGAACTTAACCTGTTGATATGACAGGAGATAAAGTGGCTCAGCACTAAGTAGATCTCCAATTGAAAATGACATGTGCAAAATTTCTGTCCTGATTCCTCAAATAAAACTAGAAGAAATGAAAAGGTAACAGAGTAACTTTCTCTACATTTATTAGGGAGTTTGTTACAAATAGTGAACTGAACTTTACAGGCACGATTCCATGAATTCCAATAAGAGTTAACACTGATAATTTAGCTTTCTCATTACATATACAGAAATAACATTGCTACAAATTTGCAATGGAGAAAATCTTGTTGCAAATGGCTTGGTTTGGGGTTTTGTCTAAATGTATCATTATATAATGAAAGCACCAATTTGAGGGCTTCTCAAATAGTGATTTGAGTTTCAGAACATTAACTTGGTAACTTTATTCTTCTCTAAATAAGGCATAACTGGATATGTGTATTAATGCTGAAAATACATTTCATCAAAAGCATAAATACAAGTATTTGGGTATACATTGGAAATTAAGATTTATTTATTCCTTCTTACAAAAAATTATAGGACATGATTTCTGTCAAATCTAAATTAATATTTCTAGTCATTTCTGGTAATAAGGTCATCTTACTTCCTTCTACTTTAAGCCAACCACTGCCACCAACTGAACAAGGATTTCCCGAAACAACCTCACTAGAGCGATTCACCAGAGGCTCCTAACTTTGTAAAATATATGCCAATGAAACTTCAAAGAAAACAAAATAAATAAATGGCCCCTTTTCACTCACATTGCCTTCTCGGATTACGGCTGCACTACAGCCATCCAGTGCCCTTTCCAGACAAGATTGAAATGAAGATTTAAACTTAACACAGTATTTGGCAGAAAGCAATGATTCAGGTTATTAAAATAATACTTAAGCAGAAGAGGCACGTTTTGAATTATTTGGATCTTCAGAAAACATTTGACAAAACCCTTTTCCTATATGAAAATCAAGGCCCAAATCTGTGGTGTTCTTTGATTTGTAATATAAGGCAACTCTGTATACTACAAAGTTCTTCAAGGTCAAAGAGGATATTTTGTAGCATTTCTTAAGAATTAAACAAGACATTCAGATTTAAGAACAGAATGTAAGAAAATTAGGCACATCTTATTCCAAATAATCATGAAGTCTAAGAAAATCTTAACAGATGAAAGAACTTTAAATCATGTTTTTAGAGATTAGGGGTAAATTGGCATAGCTATGAGCACCCTTTTAATTTTGTTTTGTTCACCTCCATCTTCATATAGTGGTATTTCAAAAGGATTTGGTTTGCATGATATAGGTATAACGACTCCTTCAACCAGTTTAAAAATACAGTATATAAAAAGAGTGGACTAAAGCATTCAGATTGAACTTCATAGTTCTACTGAATGTCTAAACAAGCCAGCCATTAAATATAAGTAATTTGCTGCCTCAAAGTGTATTCTAGATTTTACCATAAAAGAAGGTTGACTCTGAGACATCACACACATCAGGAAAGAAAATCACAACTGCCCAAAATAATACCGTATCTGTTTGGTGTTTCAATGTTTCTTGTTGGTAGCCAATATGGGGAAACTGGTGACTTCTGCTTTGTCAGGCAATATTTATGGTTCACGTCACAAATCTTAAATATAACATAAACCGACCAAGTGTCCTCTTCACATAGGGAACTCACTTCAGCCCCTCGCTGGAGTTAATGTTTTGGCCATTCCATAAAACCAATAGCTAAATTTACACACAGGCTCTCCACCACACAGTCCAAATGTTACTGTGCACATGATATTCAGAAGCTCTGAAATTATTCTATGAATTTAAACAAAGTATTCTTTTTGGCAAGAAGCACTAGATGTTTAAACATGCATGGACATTTGCATTATCATGTGGGCGACAGGTCTGGAGGTCACATATCACCAAGGCATGAAAATACTGGGAGTGACTATGGATGGAACTGCAAATGCAAGCAAAGTCAGGTATGCAAGAACAATTCCTGGTTAGCTCAGAGAAAAGCCCTATCTCATACTAGACAGCAAGACAGACCAAGAGCCATTGTCGTAACGGTGGGTGGCTCATAATGTTCACCCATCTTTCAAGAACTTCCTCGCCAAGAAAATACCTGAGAGCCCAGTCAGCTATACAGTAAAGTGACGAATATCACAGTCTTAGTGACAATTTTCAGGAAAAGGAGAAAAGCTGCCATTTTCCAAACTGTCCCCAGCCTTGTCCATCTTTTCCCTAATCCAATTCCAACACTGCACTTACCCTGCAAGCCAGGATTTTCAGTACTGCAAACCAGCCATTCTGAAGAGTCTGCTGTGAATGTATCTGGAATCAAAAAGCTATTGCATGGGTATGTTTTCATTTGGTAAGAAATGGAGGAGGTCAAATGCAATCAGATGTTGGTGTGAACTAAAAATATTATCTCTTGTTCTTAGGAATATCCTTAAAACATTCCAAATGCACCTCAATAAAGCTGGAATTTCATAAATGAACATGCACATACTGTGCTTTTTTAGTGACATACCAAGAATGAGTAGGAATTTGAAATGATACCTTCTTGTATCTTGAATAGTTTGATACAAAAATACTGCAAACTCCAAATGAACAACAAAAAATCCCAAAAATGCCACTCTCTGAGTTAATGGGAATAGACAGGAGAGCAAAAGAAAAGCGTTTGTGATGGTACAAAATGGTTTCCTGCCCTAACCGGTTTGGCTCAGTGGATAGAGTGTTGGCCTTCGGACTCAAGGGTCCCAGGTTCGATTCTGGTCAAGGGCATGTACCTTGGTTGCGGGCGCATACCCAGTAGGGAGTGTGCAGGAGGCAGCTGATCGATGTTTCTCTCTCATCGATGTTTCGAACTCTCGATCCCTCTCCCTTCCTCTCTGTAAAAAATCAATACAATATACTTAAAAAAACAACAAAACAAAAACAAAAGCAAAATGGTTTCCTACAGTAAGGCCCCCAATAATCTGAAACAGGATTCAAAAGTCTGAGAGTAAAACACATAACATCTGGAAAGGTTATGTTTATTTAGAAAGTTCTGTTATCAAGTTGCTTGCAATTTTTAGTTACTGCCATGGCCAAGATGTTTCACATCCGACACTTTTATTACATATTTAAATATGAAAAGGGTAAATCGTATTTCACTCATAACTTTGACCAAAACACTATATATGGCACTTGCTTGCCTTTTGCTCCCCCGTACCATTTGTGAACTTCCATTAGCATCAAACCAGAAATCCTCATGTAAACTTTAAAACACTAAAAACATTACCTTTAGGAACCACAGAAATTTTAAAACAAAACAACTGTTATGCATGTAATGAAAAATACATGAAGGCTAAATCTGGTGAATCTATAGAATGTCATTCCTAAGATCAAAATTTTTTCCAATAGCCATTTCAAAATAGGTCACCATAAAGCTAGGCACGAGTGTTGCTGCTATGTGTCAGGCAGACAAAAGGTATCTTATTTGTTTTAGAACTGAATATTCTCAACCTCATACTAGAAATACTCAAGGACACCTGCTATACTTGGCACTACAGGGCAATCCAGTTTGAAAGTGGAAGGTGTTAAAGCCTGAACTATACCTCGAGTGAGGTTTGGCAGAAAATTACAACTCCACTCTAATGGAAGCCATAGCGAAACCGATCAAAGCCTGAACTTCAGCAGATATTGGCAATGTGTTGTTATTCAGCAGCTTTCAGCCACAAACCAAAGTCTGCAGAAGAAGGACTCAGATTTCCAAGAACTTCAACACAGCATCAAGATTTTTCTAATTCCTGTTGTAAACTATTTGAAAAAACAAAACAAACAGAAAACAATAAAAAAGACAAAAAGGCATTAAAACAGCAAGTCTTTTGTATATCACTGTAGCATAAGCTGCTTGAGGTTGTCATGAAGAATAGTATCCTTCACGTCACGGAAAACCAGGCGGATGTTTTCGGTGTTAATAGCAGTGGTGAAGTGGTGGTACAAGGGCTTCTGCTGCTGGTCCCGGCGTTTGTTACGGAAACACTCCACCAGGAATTTTTGGACGTCTCTTAAGCAGTGGGGATCCCCTTCAAATTCTAAGAAATAGTCTTTGATGCTCACAATTTGCACTTTCTCCTCAAGCAAATCTGTCTTGTTTAAGAAGAGAATTATGGAGACATTGCTGAAAACCCGGTTATTGACAATTGTTTCAAAAATGTTCAGAGATTCTGTAAGGCGATTGGTCAGTCGGTCTTCCATAAGCACCTGGTCAAATTCACTTGAGGAAACAAGGAAAAGTATTGATGTCACACTGTCGAAGCACTCAAACCAACGTTTTCTTTCTGATCTTTGACCACCTACATCGACCATTTTAAAAGGAACATTTTTAATTTCAAAGTCGTATTCATGAATGCCTTTGGTGGGCCTTCGGGCAAGCAGAATATCTTGTTGTGATGGAACATAATTCTGGGGGGGAAAAAAAAAAGCTTTTATACTCAGGAACCAGAACTAGAATTTTTAATGTTCTACTAAGTGTCTGGTGAACGGATATGCAAGCAAAATTATCTTTTTAACATGTCGACACCTCTTAATAATACTAAAGCATCAATACTATTATTATTCCAATTATACAATGCCAAATATATTAAAATGTTAGTGTACGACGACTGGTTCAAAATTCACTACAAATGAGCAGCACCTATTTTTTTTTTCATTCCTG